GGAAAGACAGAAAGCCATTGCTCCTGGGTTTTTTTTGTGTGAGAAAACTTAGTGAGGTAGGACAAAAAAGATAAGATTTAAGGAGAGGCATCCTAATAGCTCAATACGTTCATGATTAGCCTATCTACAGCAACCGCTGGAAAGATAGAGTCAAGAAACGTTTCTACCAGGAGGAGACATCAGGACATGGCTTGCTAATGCTTATTTAATAACCAGAAGAGGCACTAGGTCAACAGGCCAGCCAAGAACAGTAGAGAGTGACCTCATGCAAGTGGGGGTGCAGGAGGATTTCTCATAGGCTGCTGTGGGTTTGGAGGAAATGTCTGTGGTGTGAAGAGCACTGGACTGGAAGTCAGGAGACTGGAACATGAGTCATGGTCTCACTGCTAATGACCTGCATGTCCCTAAGAAAGTCACTTAACTTCTCTAGACCTATTCTTCCATCTACAAAATAAGGGAATTACCAACATTCTTTCAGTTCTGGAATTCAAATTCTAAAATAAATGTATAACAGGATAAGTGTATCTTTTTGCCTTCCTTACCTTTAAAATAGAATTTACTTCACAAGTAAAGTTTTCCTAGTATCCAGAAACTAGGAAATGGTTCTTTGTATTTCTACACAATTCCTTTCAATGATACATCTACAGTTATATCTATAAATTCCTTTGAAAACCAAATTTTTTTTTGGAGAGGTTTTTGCTATAGGGCGTGTGCACTCGCCAGACACAGAGACACAGAAATTGAGAAATCGCCCCCTGGGGGGATGGCCATGCCGCAATCCCTTCTCGTCCATTCTCCTCTTGGGATCTTGGGCATGCATGCACATGCGCCCGGCGTGAGTTTTAAGCCACCAGGTCCTGGACTTGAACTGTGATAGACTACATGGGAGTCCAGTGACATAGCCATTATGCTAACTGCTGATCCCAAAAATCAATTTTAATGTGTGTAAAGATCCAACCAATTTGTATCAATGAAATTAAATCTATTTTGAAAAGAAGAAAGGACTATAAATTAAAAATGAGTTAATTTTTTCGGGAACCAGCAGTTAGCGTAATGGCTATGTCGCTGTTTCTTTGTTTTCCGTAAAGTGGTCTGTTAATGCAAACCCAGTGGAGATACTGACAGAAGAAACTCTCCTTCCCTGGGGTAGGTAAAGAGAGCTGGTTAGTTCAGTCTCATCCCTTGACCACATCAGTGACTGCTATAACCTGGAGCCATCTTTGCGGTAGAAGTTGCCTCTTACTCATTCTTAGAGAGGTGTGAAAGACAGTTGTTCAAATATGGGTTGGGAAAAGTACAATTTAGTGGTAACATATGACATCAGCGTCCCGGACCCGGTGGCTTAAAATTCACGCCGGGTGCGTGTGTGTGCGTGCCCAAGATCCCAAGAAGAGAATGGAGGAGAAGGGATTGCGGTATGACCATCCCCCTTGGGGTGATTTCTCCTTTCTGTCTCTATGTCTCTCTCTCTCTGACTGGCGAGCACATGCGTCCTATAGCGAAAATCTCTCAAAAAAATATTTTAAAAAATGAGTTAATTTTTATTATACTTTCCAAGTATCAAGGAGCACTAAGAACAGAAATATTTATTCTGAACTCTGTGACATATAACGTATCTGATATTATTTTATCACCATAACAATATGGCAGGGGAATATTAGCTCTTTATTTTTTTTTTTTTTTTTTTTTTAAAAAAAGGACCCTAAAGGGTAACTTGATAAGGACAAGAATTTAGGGAAAAAGGAATTGCCAGAGAGGAGAGAGAGACAGAAAAAGACAGTGAGAAGGAAAGTGAGAAATACCCCCTCCCCCCCAGGGAATGATCACACCACAATCGCTTCTCCTTCATTCTCCCCCTATGATTTTGGGCATGCGTTCACATGCACCTAGCATGAGTTTCAAGTTACCAGGTCCAGGCCTCGAACCACAGTTGGCCATATGGGAGTCCAGTGCCTTAACCACACTACATCACCTGCAGGCCCCAGTATTAACTCCTTTTTACAGATAGAAAAACAGAGACCCAAAGATCGTTAATAACTTGGTCAAGAGCATAAGATACAGAAGAGGCAAAACTGAGATTCAAAGCCAGGGGTCCAGACTCAAGACCAGAGCTTTCCACTTCACAGCTGCATCAAGAATGTGGTACCAGGGGATCAGCAGTTAGCGTAGTGGCTACGTCGCTGGACTTCCCTGTAGTCAACCGCAATTTGAGTACTAGACCCAGTGGCTTAAACTCAAGTCAGGCACGTGTGCGTGTGTACCCAAGATCCCGAGAGGAGAATGGAGGAGAAGGGATTGTGGCATGGCCATCCCTCCTGGGGGATGATTTCTCACTTTCTGTCTTTCTGGTGAGCGCATGTGCCCTATAGCAAAAACCTCTCCAAAAAAAGAAGAAAAAAGAACGTAGCCCCAGCATCTCCATTCAGACAAGCTGGGAAGAGGAATGTGGAGCTCCTGAGAAAGAGTATCTTGCTGCTTCTATAGAACTAGTGACCCTGTAGAAGGCTAGCAGACTGGACACGAGAGATTTGATAAGGGCTTTCTGACTCTTACACTCCACCAAAGGACGCAAGTGTCATCCTGACTTTTGGCTAAGCCATGCCATCGCCTAATAGCCTGACCTTCTGGCCCCATCTCACATCAGCATTTTCCAGGTCTAGATACTGCCAAAAATTCCTGTCAGAATAGAGAAACATGGGAAAGGAGATTTTTGTTTGTTTGTTTTCCATAAAGTGGTCTGTTAATGGAGATACTGACAGAAGAAACTCCCCTTCCCTGGGGTAGGTAAAGAGAGCTGGTTAGTTCAGTCTCATCCCTTGACCACATCAGTGACTGCTATAACCTGGAGCCATCTTTGCGGTAGAAGTTGCCTCTTACTTACTCATTCTTAGAGAGGTGTGAAAGACAGTTGTTCAAATATGGGTTGGGAAAAGTACAATTTAGTGGTAACATATGACATCAGCGTCCCGGACCCGGTGGCTTAAAATTCACGCGTAATGGACCACCTCCTTCTGGAATATTGTATTTCCCATTTTATTTAATGTGGATATTGACAGAAGATATTTCACATCCAAGAGTCTGTGTTAAGGCCAGGGTCAAAAGCTAACCTCAGTTCCCGAAGAATTATCAAGTGAAGAGAAATGAAGGACACAGTCTTCATTTGTTGCAGTAGGGTGGGTAGAACAAAGAATTCAGAGCTAGAACACTGGCGTTTGAGTCTAAGCTCTAGTTATTATTTGCTGTACAATTTGGGGGAACTAAGATTGCACTCTCTGAACCTTCCACAGGTGAAATGCAGAGAGTAAAATGCTCACCTCAAAGCTCATTATGAGGATTAATTACATTAATGATCCAGAACTATTTTGTCACTGTCAAGTGTTAAGTAAATGTTATTTTTTAAATTATTATAACCATATTCTTTCCAAAAAAAACTCTCTTTTTGAGTTGTGAGTTACTGAGCCATGCCATGATGAACTTCTAGTAACCAATATTATAGACAATGAGCACTGGAAAAAACTAGCTAAGATAAATGCTTCCTTTAATTGCAGCCACTTATGAATATTAGGAATGAATGCCTGGGCACATTGGGCTCACTTTTCTGTGGCAGGATTAAAACAACCCACTCTCTTGAGTTAGCAAGTCTCACTGACCTTCCCTGCTTTTTTTTTCCCCTTGAATTCCTAGAACATAGCTATACCCACAGATCTTGATTTTGTTTTCATTTAATCATTAATTTTAGGGAGCCATTATGCTTTACTTCTGGTCCAAAGCAAAAAATGGATTCTCTTTGGTGGAACATTTTTCTATCTTCTCAAAATGCTGTACATTTCTGTCTCTCTGTCTCTTCCTTTCTGGCTGGGGGATGATTTCTCACTTTCTGTCTTTCTGGTGAGCGCATGTGCCCTATAGCAAAAACCTCTCCAAAAAAAGAAGAAAAAAGAACGTAGCCCCAGCATCTCCATTCAGACAAGCTGGGAAGAGGAATGTGGAGCTCCTGAGAAAGAGTATCTTGCTGCTTCTATAGAACTAGTGACCCTGTAGAAGGCTAGCAGACTGGACACGAGAGATTTGATAAGGGCTTTCTGACTCTTACACTCCACCAAAGGACGCAAGTGTCATCCTGACTTTTGGCTAAGCCATGCCATCGCCTAATAGCCTGACCTTCTGGCCCCATCTCACATCAGCATTTTCCAGGTCTAGATACTGCCAAAAATTCCTGTCAGAATAGAGAAACATGGGAAAGGAGATTTTTGTTTGTTTGTTTTCCATAAAGTGGTCTGTTAATGGAGATACTGACAGAAGAAACTCCCCTTCCCTGGGGTAGGTAAAGAGAGCTGGTTAGTCCAGTCTCATCCCTTGACCACATCAGTGACTGCTATAACCTGGAGCCATCTTTGCGGTAGAAGTTGCCTCTTACTTACTCATTCTTAGAGAGGTGTGAAAGACAGTTGTTCAAATATGGGTTGGGAAAAGTACAATTTAGGGTAACATATGACATCAGCAACAAATTTAATATGTGTCAACAGTGGGACATGCCTACCAAATGGAGCACACAGGACTGAGTACTGGCATCAATACAAAGGAGCAGTCGTCATGCTCATTTACGTAATGGACCACCTCCTTCTGGAATATTGTATTTCCCATTTTATTTAATGTGGATATTGACAGAAGATATTTCACATCCAAGAGTCTGTGTTAAGGCCAGGGTCAAAAGCTAACCTCAGTTCCCGAAGAATTATCAAGTGAAGAGAAATGAAGGACACAGTCTTCATTTGTTGCAGTAGGGTGGGTAGAACAAAGAATTCAGAGCTAGAACACTGGCGTTTGAGTCTAAGCTCTAGTTATTATTTGCTGTACAATTTGGGGGAACTAAGATTGCACTCTCTGAACCTTCCACAGGTGAAATGCAGAGAGTAAAATGCTCACCTCAAAGCTCATTATGAGGATTAATTACATTAATGATCCAGAACTATTTTGTCACTGTCAAGTGTTAAGTAAATGTTATTTTTTAAATTATTATAACCATATTCTTTCCAAAAAAAACTCTCTTTTTGAGTTGTGAGTTACTGAGCCATGCCATGATGAACTTCTAGTAACCAATATTATAGACAATGAGCACTGGAAAAAACTAGCTAAGATAAATGCTTCCTTTAATTGCAGCCACTTATGAATATTAGGAATGAATGCCTGGGCACATTGGGCTCACTTTTCTGTGGCAGGATTAAAACAACCCACTCTCTTGAGTTAGCAAGTCTCACTGACCTTCCCTGCTTTTTTTTTCCCCTTGAATTCCTAGAACATAGCTATACCCACAGATCTTGATTTTGTTTTCATTTAATCATTAATTTTAGGGAGCCATTATGCTTTACTTCTGGTCCAAAGCAAAAAATGGATTCTCTTTGGTGGAACATTTTTCTATCTTCTCAAAATGCTGTACATTTCTGTCTCTCTGTCTCTTCCTTTCTGGCGAGCGCACGTGCCCTATAGCAAAAACCTCTCTAAAAAAGAAAAAAAAAATTGGAAACCAGCAGTTAGCATAATGGCTATGTCGCTGGACTCCCACGTAGTCCACCACGGTTCGCATCCCGGACCCGGTGGCTTAAAACTCACGCCGGGCGCGTGTGCGTGCCCAAGATCCCAAGAGGAGAATGGAGGAGAAGGGATTGCGGCGTGACCATCACCCCTGGGGGGTGATTTCTTGCTTTCTGTCTCTATGTCTCTCTCTGTCTGGCGAGCACACGTGCCCTATAGTGAAAAACCTCTCAAAAAAAAAAAAAAAAAGCTGTACAAATAACTATATGCAAGAGAATAAAGAACATAGACTTACAAATCCTGCACAGTGTTCGCAGAAGGTTGGCTTGAGATAGGTCATCTCCTGAAAATTATGGACAAATCCTGGTCCCATTTTACAGTGTAGCTGGGATTTAGCTCTCAGGAAGTAAGCCATCATTTCATCTTTACTAATCAGGCCATCCCTGTTAAGAGAGTCAAAGAAGAGAGGGATCTCTGAATATCATAATGCAAAGTAATTGCTATACTCTAGTCACCCAGCTCCCCAACCCTTGTGGCCAAAGGCAAATGAGGAATGTCCACTCTTCTGCTACATCTGAAAGAAGGGGAGGACCTCAAAGGACATTCAAGTGTTCAAAGTCTTCTTCAGTAAGATGGTGTGTGTGTGTGTGTGAATGCTCCGTACCATACATATGTATATACACATGTGACCTGTGCTCTGCCACATAGAAAGTGTCCTTCATTACAGAACAGTAGCTTCCAGAACAGTTTTATAGCTCTTGCCTCGAAATAGGATTTCAAGACTTGGGCTGCTGAAGAAAGGCAAGAAACTGTGGGACCAGCAGTTAGCATAATGGCTATGTCGCTGGACTCCCACGTAGTCAACTGCGGTTCGAGTCCCGGAGCCGGTGACTTAAAACTCAAGCCAGGTGTGTATGCGTGCGTGCCCAAGATCCCGAGAGGAGAGTGGAGGAGAAGGTATTGCAGCGTGGCCATACCCACTCAGGGGTGATTTCTCTCTTTCTGTCTCTTTGTCTCTCTCTGTCTATCTGGCAAGCTCACGTGCCCTAGAGCAAAAACCTCTCCCACCGCCCCCCCAAAAAAAAAGGAAAAAAAGAAAGGCAAGAAACTGTAATAACTGGGCCCACCATTCTCAAATTCACCCAGTCTGGTGCCCTCCAGGCTGTTCCCTTGTGACTTTTCCATTCATGTTTTACTGACTCATAGCCCATTCGCTAGAACAATTTTTCCAGATCTTCACACAGAACATAACTCCAGCTCCACCTACCTCCTTACCCCCCGGCTCAGCTCACTCTGACATCTTAATTATCAAAAAAGATAAAAACAAAACAAAAAAGTCATGCCCAGCCAGGAGGTGCATTTTCTAGTCCTTGAATCTAGGTGCAGGTCACATGGTTATCAGCTATCAGACAACCTTAAACAGATGTAACATATAATACTTCCAGGCCAAGGAGTTTAAAACACTACTGAGCTTCTCTACCTTCTCTTCTCTCATATGCCAGATGTATGCAAGGGAATCCAGGACTTAAGAGGTCTGAAAAGGCAGGATAAGAGGGACCTCGTCTATGAGTTACCAGGAAGAGGAATATGTGTGTGTGTGTGTATAACTTTTTTTTTTTTTAAGAGAGAGATTTTTGCTATAGGGCATGTGCGCCTGCCAGAGAGATAGAAAGCGAGAAATCACACTCCGGGGGGGATGGCCACATCGCAATCCCTTCTCCTCCATTCTCTTCTAAGGACTTCAGGTACACACACACACACACACACACACACACACACACACACACACCAGGCATGAGTTTAAGCCACTGGGTCTAGGACTTGAACCATGGTCAACTACATGGGAGTCCAGCGACAGAACCATTACACCATCTGCTGGTCCCAGGGAGGGGAATATTGACTAAGAACACTGTACACTCTTACATGTATGAGAAAAAGAAACTTCAGTATGTCAAGCTACTAAAAGTTTGAGGTTTATCTATTACAGAAACTGCTGGTATCTAACTAAATATACCTGGAAATATCCCACGCCCCATCCTTCCACAGCTCATGATGGGAATTTCTTTTTTTTTTTTTTTTTTGAGGTTTTTGCAATAGGGTATGTGTGCTCACTAGAAAGACAGAGAGAGACAGAGAGATAGAAAGCGAGAAATCACCCCCCCCAGGGGGGATGGCCACACCTCAATACCTTCTCCTCTAGTCTCCTCGTGGGATCTTGGGCATGCACACACATGTGCCTGGCATGAGTTTAAGCCACCGGGTCCGGGACTTGAACCATGGTCAACTACATGGGAGTCCAGTGACCCAGCCATTACACCAACTGCTGGTGCCATGATGAGAATTTCCACATAACATTAATGAATACTTGAGTTCTTGGCATGGTAGGGCCAGTTTCTGTAAGTACCAGGCACCGAAACTCAGAGAACCCACTGGGCTCACATCTCTCCTGTCTGCATTCTGGTAACCAAAGAGAGCCTGTCCCTACTCTTTATTGTAGAGAATTAAGGGAATTTCCATCTGAATGAGTGCAGAAGCTGCATTTCGTCACTTAACTCACAGAAACCTCTCAATATGGCCCAAAATCTGTGATTTCTTCCCCATAGGTCTTTAATCTGAGAGGCAGATTAAAGTTAAATATTCTCTAAAATCAGTTTCCAGGAAATTTTTTGTGCATGGAAAAACACCTTTGAGATGCTAATAGGAGCTGTAGAAAGGGGAGAGTGTTCTGTGACTAATTAATTAATTAATGCCAAAAAAAGTTTAAACAGTGCCCTTACCTATCACCCTCCTAGAGGATCATAACTCAAGGCACTTCAGCCTATTAAAAGCGTTTGGAAGTCATTTAATAGAGGCACCTAGTTAATTAGATTTCACTGTGTTTCCCACTTTTGACCAGTTAATTTTTGTTTCAGAAATACTAATTAATAGCTATTGCTGTGGAACATAGAAAAAACATGTTCTTTTTGAGGTTTTTCCAGCATCAATCACTCAAAACTTTAGTGAGGTTAGTCATCATAAAATGTGAGGGAAAAACTAAAGGTGTTCTGTTATCTGAAAAAAAGCAGTCATATGAATGATTCACATTTTCATTCATAGATATTGGTAGAAAAAAAGTGTATAGATATTGGTATACAGTTATAAAGATGATATAGCTAAAGAGTTAGGTAGCCACTGGGATCATCTCAGTTCCATCTGAAGAACCAGCAAAGAAAAGAAAGGAAGACTGGGAGGTAATTTTAAGCTCACGTCTCATTTACTTGTCATTGGTAGTAACAAAGTAAGAAAAAAAGTGGGTAACTAGAGATTGCTTCAATTTTACTTTACAAAGGAAGTTTTGGTTTTTAATAAAATCTCCCCTTCTCCATGGTGCCAGTTACCTGAAGTCAACTGAGGTCATAAAATAGGTTAAGTACATTATAATTAGGTATTCTGAGAGACAGAGAGAGAGAGAGACAACTCATTCATGTAGCTTTTAATACTTTTGTTATAATTGTTCTCTTTTATTGTTAGATATTAACGTTAATCTCTTATTATGGCTAATTGATAAATTAAGTTTTATTATAGATATGTATACATGGAAACAATATAACATACATAAGGTTCAGTAGTGTTCACGATTTCAGACATGCACTGGGGGTCTTAGAATCCATTTCCTATGGATAAAGGAGGGGGGGGTCTACATAATTTTCTTTATTTAAAAAGTATTCTTTTTTTTTAGTATGTAATGAAGACAAATTTAAAATTTTAAGAGGTTTACGATAAAATATCAAGCCTTTCTTTGGTGTGTTGACTTACAGATTTTCTTGAAAAAGAAATCTTATACCAACAGAAACAGGATTTTAAATGTGATTTAGTTTGGACGTTGCACCAATCTAAAAATCCAATATTTCATTGCAGACAATTTTTAAGCTAGGAGCAAATCTCACACAAATAAAAGTTAATCTTATTATTAATACCAGGCTTTCTCAGGATCAGCAGTTAGCGTAATGGCTATGTCGCTGAACTCCCATGTAGCTGACCGCGGTTCGCGTCCCGGACCCGGTGGCTTAAAACTCACACCGGGCACGTGTACATGCGTGCCCAAGATTCCGAGAGGAGAATGGAGGAGAAGGGATTGCAGTGTGGCCATCCCCGCTGGGGGGTGATTTCTCACTTTCTATCTCTCTGTCTCTGTCTTTCTGGCAAGCGCACGCGCCCTGTAGCGAAAACCTCTCCAAAAAAGAAAAGAAAAAAAAACTTTTGATCAACACAGAAGAAAACAAAATAGGGATACTTTTTGACAATCTCCAGCTACCATATGTTCTTATGAAGACCATAAATCTAAAATAAATCTTACTCATTCAGTGAGATTCAGTGAGGTTTAAGACTGTCCTGAGATCCATTTGCTGACGCTAGATCTAGCTATCTTTTCCCTCTACTCCTTTTATTTATTTATTTTACATTTTGTCAGAAAGCATGTGCTCTAACTGGAGAGACAGAGGCAGAACGGGAAAATGAGAAAGCATCCTATAGGGGGAAAAGCCATGCCACAATTTCTTGTCCTCCCTTATCTCCCTCCTTTCAGGACTTTGAGCATGCACTCACACACATACTGGGCATGTTTCTCAAGATGGCAGATTCCAGACTCAAACTGCATGATCTGTCTTGTGGGATCAGCCACCTTAACGGCCATGCCAGCTGCTGGCCCATCCTCTACTCTTTTTTGGTGAAGGTCTTTTGGCATTGATAGTTCAGCAGAAGAGGTAATAAAAATGAACATCTGGGCTACTTTGAGAAGGGGCTCTGTGTTTCACACTCATGATGTGGTCAGTCCTGTAATTCTAGTCAACCGATCATATTCATGGACACCAAGAAAATAATCAGAGAGAAGTTAGAACCATTGCATCAAAGTACTGGGGTTGTAACTTTCACAATCCAGATTACAGGTTTCTCTGCTCGCCACTGATAATAATTTTCACTTTAGGGCAGTTGTGCTAAAATGCAATAAAATGGAAACTTACTGGTCTTTGTCCAGCACACAGAAGGAATCTAAGAAGGGAAAATTGGCAGCTATACTTTCAAAGTCCTCTTGGGAGATGTACCCATCGTGGTCATGGTCATAGTTTCTAAACACAGACTGCGAAGGAAAGACAAGTATTTACTGAATGACTATTTATGAATCAAACTCTGAAGTTGTTACAGTGAAAGCAGTGATAACTTCCCATATTGTACTTTCTCTCAAGAAAATTAGAATCCAGTGGGAAATAAATAAATCGAGATGCTTCCATAGAATACAAGATAAGTGGTTTGCTGAAGATAAAACAGAGCTCTGTGGAGAAGGGAAATAGGTGAAAGATTTCCTGGAGAAAGCAAAATGTAAAGGGAGACCCCAGGGTTGAATGGGAGTTAGGCTTGGTGAATTTGCAAATCCCAATACCATGACAACTAGAGAATGAAGCTTTAAAATGTTAAATTATCTTAAAAAATTAAATTTTACATTTAATACAATTCTTATCAAACTCCAAGTGGAAATTGGTTTTAAATAAACAAGTTAATTCTAGTATTCAAATAGAAGTGAATATATCAAGAATAGCTCAAAAGTGGTTTAAAACAAAGAGTAATGAGGGAAAGCATAGGCCTTTTTAGAAATAACATAGTCCAAAGCTACATTAATCAAAACAATTTTATACAGCTTAACTACAGAGAGTGGAATTAGAAACAAATCTACATAGATATAAAAACCAAAAATATAAAAAATATTTTCAAATCCATAGGGAAATTGCAGATTATCTCATAACTACTATTGATTTAAATGACTAACAATTTTATAAAATAAATTGCCCCCAAACTAAATTCTAGATGCATTAATTTTTTTCCCCCTAGAAGGCATATATGTTGGCCAGAGAGAGAGAGAGGGAGAAGACAAAGTAGCCCCCATAGGAAATGGTTACACTGCAATCCCTTCTCTTCCAACTGTCCCTTGTTTGGGGATTTTAGACAGGCATGCACACATATGTACCTGTTGTGTGTCGCAAGCTGCCAAGTTTGGGACTCTAACTATGTGGTCAACCATTACCTCCCTCTTTTCGGGATTGTGAGCATGCACTCACACACATACTGGGCAGGTTTCTCAAGGTAGGATACAACTATCTTAACTACTAGGTCATGGAGTCAGCCTACATTAAATATTTTAATGTAAAAAAAAATAAAGCTATAAGAGCTTTACCAAGGGTAAATAGATGAAAATATTGTTTGTGGTTTATTATCTTTGAGTGGAAAAGAACTTCCTTAGCATGACATTAAAACGAGATGCTATAAAGAAACATATTTTATTACAATACACTGCAAAACAGCACAACCAAAAAAGTTCTATTAACACATTTAAAGATAAATGACAAACAGAGCAAGTTATTTGCAATATATATGAAAGCAAAACCACAAAAGTAAAAGAGGCAATCGCCATAAAATTACAAATGGCCAAGAGAATAGAAAGGTGCTCAACACTGTTAATAATTACAGAAATGCAAATAAAACTCTCTTTTTAACCTCTCAGATTGAAAAAAAAAATAAAATAAATGATCGTTTAATTTCCTAAGGCATGAGACAATAGGTACCAAATTAGTGAGACAGTAGCTTCCTACTTGGAAGACAATCAGGCACTTTCAGAAGTGCCTACTCTCTGACAGTAATTGCACTTCCAGGAATTGAACAAGTTTGCAAAAGATACACATTTATATATGCATATATGTATGCACGATGTATGTGTGGGTGACTAGATAGATGAATAAGTAGATAGATGAAAGAAGAAGGAAAGAGAAAGGAAGAAAGAAAAAGAAGATAAATCATGCAAGATAATCTACAAATTATCTGATTATCTCTCTAAAGTAGAATTACCAAGGCCTGAAAGTAAATGTTTATTTTCTATAATTTATGTAATGCTTTAATACTTAAAATGATTCTGTCTTCCTTTATAATCAGAGAAAAATAGAAAGGTTTTCCATTGCCTTCTGCTAAATTTAATTTTCAGAAAGATTTGTAAGTTCCCTCTATAAACACATACAAATAAATATTTGATCTGGATTTCAGTCGTAATGTCTCTTTCTCCCTTTTCCCAATGTTACTGTCTAGTCTGTGTATCTCTATTACTCTATGTTGTAAGCTGCTTCTTGAGTATTTTGGGAAGTAGGCCAGGTATACATGAATGAGTTACTGAAAATATGATGAAAGTAGGTGTTTAGCAGCTATTAAAAGTTTGGGACCAGCCGTTAGCATAATGACTATGTTGCTGAACTCCCATGTAGTCGACTGTGGTTCGAGTCCTGGACCTGGTGGCTTAAACTCATGCCAGGTGCATGCGTGCGTGTGCCCAAGATCCCAAGAGGAGAATGAAGGAGAAGTGATTGAGACATGGCCATCCCCCCCGGGGGGTGATTTCTCACTTTCTATCTCTCTGTCTTTCTGGTGAGCACACACACCCTATAGCAAAAACCTCTCCAACAGAATAAATAAATAAAAAATAAAAGAAAGTTTATTCATAGATAAGCAAATTGCATGAATCATAAAATATTACATTTTTGTGTCTCAATATCAATATTTACCCATAGTAAAAATTGCTTAAAAGTTAACTATTTTGAAGTGGTTACTATTTATAATCTAGCATCCATATTTGTACTGAGAGTGTAACATTTTGGGGAGAATAATATGTATTGAATAGTATAAAAATTCATAATAAAGTGCAGTCTTTCATTTGATTAAATCAATGTATCCAAACGGGGCCAACGTTCTTCATGAAATTGGAATTGGAGAGTAGAGAAGAGAAAGAAGGAGGATAGGAGTAAGAGAATGGAAAGAAAGGCAGAGGGAGAGAGAAAAAGAGAGGAGAGAGACTCCTCGTCAGAGCAGGACTGAGAGAGGAGTTCTACCTTCACTTTCTGGGTTTCGGAATTTCCTGAGCTGCAACTGAAGTCCCTGCATTTCCTGAAATTCCACAATCTTTCCTGTACCTTCCCTGGCTCCATGCTGGTACTGTTATGCCACCACGTCACTGGGCCTTATCTCCTTCCTCATCTGCCTTGCCCCTCCTCTCCCCAAACGTCCTCTCTGCACCACCCTTAGTAATCTTTTTCTTCCTGCCTCACATATTCCATAAAATTTCTTTCAGCACCACATAGTTCTTAGATAATTCAGGATGTAGACCATTCTTTCTTTTTCTTTAAACATCCTTTCCCAGCAAAAAGCACATACCATCTCCAAGACTCAATCCTATTGCACCAGAAGATAAACTGATCCATTAACATAGACATTTAATCAGCATCCAGTTTTCAATGCCTGAGATGTTTCCACTTTCCCCACACTGACGTTTTTACTCCTCTTTCTACATGGAAGACGCTGACAGAGCCTTGCTCTACATTGGGTGATTATTTTTTACCTAAATGGAATTGGGCCACTGTGTCACAGAACCCCAACACTGTACAGCAAGAGGGACTATACAACTTACAGGAGGTTTTTCCTGCCCTTTGTGAACCGATTTATTAAACATTTCATTGTGACACACATAGCTTTCTTATGAATAATTTAAATCTCCAGACAGTCCCTGGTGTTGGCAGCAATGACAAAGGTGGCAAATGCATGGGAAAGAGGTGAGAAAAGTTGAGAAAGAGCTGGTAGCATTTGGTGAGAACAGACAGACAAGGGGGTAAATGGGCCTTTCTGGTAGCTTCTCCCCCAAGAACTATGCCACATAAAGCTATGTCCCTCCTATTTGCCAGAAGGTTATGTTCATAAATGCCATCTGATTCCTGGAGAGTCACAGAATATTATGGAAAAAGGAGGCCTTTGAGTGTTCTTCCTCAACTTACCTCAACTAATTTCCTGATGTGCTTGTTGATGATCGTGGGGTCTGGCTTCGGCATCACCCCTGATGCCCACTCCAGGGGCACCACAGGCTTGTTGGGGGTCGTAGGGGAGGTAGGCTGCTAACAGAACAGACACACATTTTCAACTTTAACTGGGGCCTTGAGCAACTAAGACCAGGGACACTGAGAAAGATAAGTAAGCTTTTTATATTAATATTGACAGTAGAAACTTACACATGGAGCCCTTACATGCTAATAAAACAAGCATCTTTTGTTCATGAAATTTCATCAGTAACCAAATATGCGTTTGGATAGTGCGTTGTTTAGCTGCAACCTAAATACTACTGTTTCAAATGGTAAAAAAATATATATACTCCCGGCCCCTCTAAGATATCCTGTCCAAGTTCCCCAAATAACACGAAATCTTAGCACCTAACAATCCATCATGGATTTTCATATAATTTGCAATGTATAAGATACCAGTTATCTAATTTTGTTCTTTTGCTTGTTTGCTATAGGACACATACGCTTGCCAAAGAGGGAGAGAGAGGAGAGAGAGAGAGAGAACATGGGAAAGCAACCCCTAGGAAAAATGGCCACACCGCTTCTCCACATTCTGCACTCGGGATTCTGGGCAGCAGGCACACATGCAGGGCGCAATTTTCAGAATGCTGTCTGAGACTGCAACCCTCAGTTGGCTCTACAGGATCCAGCTGCCCCAACTCCTGCACCACCGACTGGCCCCCAATTATCTAATTTTTTTAAAAAAGATATTTTTATTTATTTTATTTGTTATTATTATTTATGTTTTAATTTTACCAGAGAAAGACAGAGGGGGAGGGAGGGAAAGTGAGAAAGCAAGCCATTAGGTCCAGGACTCAAACTGCAGTTGACCACGTGGGAATCCAGCACACTAACCACCACACCACCTGCCAGCCCCTCTAATTTTTAATGCTTGTATTGGTGATAAACTAGTGGCTTCACAGAGTAATAGACATCCACCCGTGGCCAAGTCTGTCCTACTGCCTGCACCTCGCTCAGCATGCTCAATCACTCCTCACTGTTCTGCTAACCCCTGGGTCTCAGGCTCCCTTGAGTGAACTTGCTTTCGCCACAGGTTTTCCCACATTCCTGAAAGACATTCTCACTTAATAACATGGAGAAGAGGATGGTGCTAATGCATAACGTAAGCATGAAACACAGTCCTATTGGGGGCCAGCTCAGGCAGTTGTGTACTTCAGAGCCTCTCCCTGGGACCTTCATGCAGGGTCAGCACTTTTGCTGGTAAACACCTGCGAACCTGTATCAGCAGGCCTTTTGTTTGACAATGAACGGGGGGAAAGCACTTTTGCAAGAGGAGCTGAGGAATAACTGCACTCATTTCAGTCCCTAACATGTCCTGAGGTGGGTGTTACTGGCAAGCCGCAGACTACTAACAGGACCTATGAATAGGACTGTTCCTGCCATTTGGCTGTGTTCTCCCACACACTCTCACACTCATCTACACACATGCTCACACATACTCACACGCCCACAAACACCTCATTATTATTATTATTATTATTATTATTATTATTATTATATATTTTTTAAATTTGTTAAAGGGCACATGTGCTTGCCAGAGAGAGACAGAGAGAAAGAAGGAAAGTGAGGAAGCGACATCCCAAGCGAGATGGCCACATCACAGTCCATTCTCCTCTCTAGCTTCTGGGCATGTGCACACATGTGCCCAGTGTGCTTTTCAAACTTTTATGTCCAGGACTGAACCACTCGTTTGATCATGTGTGATCCAGCCATCTTAGCCACTATGTGACCTAACTGCCCTCATGTCTTTATCAGGATTTATGTCTCACTAATCTGGGGCAGGATAAATCTGCTGCTCCTAAACTGCACAGTGAGGTGCCCTGAGCACTGCATGAATTTAGAGGGGCATCAAAGCTAATTTACACTGGGGCCAGCAGGTAGTGTAGCAGTTGTGTTGCTGGAATCTCACACGGTTGATGGTGGTTCGAGCCCCAGACTCAGTGGCTTGAAAATCATGCTGGGCACGTGTGCGTGCATGCCCAAGATCCTTGGAGAAGAATGGAAGAGAAGGGATTGCAGTGTGACCATCCCCCCCTAGGGAGTGTGATTTCTTACTTTCCCTCTCACCATCTTTGTCTCTTTCTCTCTGGTGAGTGCATGCACCCTAAGGCAAAAACCTCTAAAAACTAAATAAATAAAAAGATATTTCACACTTCCAAGTGAAATTTGGCGATCCTCATGGTTTCTCAGCGACCATGAGAAGTACCACCTCGAGGCAGTTACAGAGCACTCAGATCATACTGCATTTCTTTCAATGACACTGAAGCTTAATGAAGAAATCAATTAACTTGAAACAAGAAATAAAGGTGACAGTCTTCAATCTGATTCTAAGCTTCAACAAACTATAAGAAGGGGCCAGCAGATGGTGTAGAGGTTATGTCTCTGAACTCCCACATGGTCGATCACAGTTTGAGTCCTGGACCAGTAGCTTGAATCTCATACCAGGCACACGTGCGTGTGTGCATGCATGCATGCCCAAGAGCACAAAACAAGCAAGTGTCCCAAAATGGGCATGCTTAACCTCTTCCTGATAGAGAGGATGGTAGGAAAAGCACAGGCACTGAAGACAGGCCTCAGACTGAATCTTAGTTCTCCAACTTATTAACCATACAATTGGTGAAAGAAACCTTTCCAACAAACCTGGTTTCCTTAACAGAGTTAACGAGACAACACATACATGATGTCCTACCAGGCACCTAAAACCTGGGAGCAATTACTGTGCCGGTAAAGTAAAGGAAGGTATCGGGAGGTGGAAATTCTGTGTGCACGTGTAGTATGGCTAAACCCACCACGGCCAAGTTCAAGACACCCCAGCTGTAGAATAGGGAGGAGCTTATAAAGTCCTATTCTTCAATAGTTTTACCTTTCTTTCTAGCTGTCTCTTAGCCATGCTCACTTTGAAGGGTCTGGGTACCCCCTCTGCCTTTCGCCTGCACTGAGTCACCACCAGGGCTCTGTTCTGCAGTTCTCTGGAGTCTGGTGGGCGGGGGAAATGTGCTAATGGAACCACCACATGCACTATTTTGAGAACAGATGCTGTAAGGTCACCTAACTCAGTCTCAAAGTGCATGCTCCACCAGGGCCAGAGAACAACTCTCGGTGTCACTCTGCATTTCTGTCTGATGGCTCAGAACTATGAGGGTATTTATAGATTAGGGGGCTATAGTTACTGCCAATGTGCTATGGAGTGCTGCTGGTAAGGAGGTAGCAGATGAGATTTTTATAAGAAAAACTGATCTCAAGATTTGAGCATAAGAAACAAATGAACACTTATTTCCTTCAACATGCAATCCCCACATTCATACATCGCAAATACATCTAGGCTTTTTTCTTTCTTCTTTCTTTCTTTCTTTCTTTCTTTCTTTCTTTCTTTCTTTCTTTCTTTCTTTACTCTAGGGCAGTGCGCTTGTTAGAGAGAGACAGGGAGAGAGAGGAAAAGTGAGAACACACCTCCCAGAGGGGGTAGCTATGACACAATCCCATCTCCTCCATTGTCCTCTCAGGATTTTGGTCACGTATGCACATGCATATGCACTGGGTGTATTTACAAGCTACTAGGTCAAAATTCTGAAAGCACATAGATCCAGTACCACGCCACCAGCTGGCCCATTGAGGCAATTTTTTTATTAGTGCAAAACTTGTCTAAAAATGTAGTCCACTCACTAAAACTAATGAACAGTGCACATTCAATAATGCAATTTTTCTCAATCTCAGTATATTTTTACTAAGAGTCAGTCATCAGTTAACCAAGTGAGACACTATCCAATGAGATACTGAAATTCTGAGTTGAGTCAGTCATTAGTAAAGAAATCTGTGAACTCTAATCAGTGTGTTTAAATTTTACTAACTCTAATTTTATGTTTCATGGAGTCTTTTAAAGCCTGGGAGGGTCTAAATGATCTTTAACTCTAAGATGAGTTATTCTCTCTTTTTTTTTTTCTTTTCGGTCCTATTTATAGGTGTATTCTCAGAGGTGACACTAAGTAGATGATCAATAATGAAACAGCATAACAAGAGTGATGTTCATCTTCTTTATTAGCCTTTTATATGAAGAAATAATTATGTTTCACTGGCAAAATGGGAATAATACAGATTTTTAAAAAGCTTTTCCAATCTTTACCCTAAAACACAAAACACCATTGTAAAATCCAATTACTGTAAATGACAAACAATGGAGTTTGGCACTGATTTATCTTTTATTTTTTTGCCAGAGGGCAAATTCACTCACCAGAGAGAGACAGAGATGGAGAGATAAGGAGAGGGAGAAAACACCTCCCCTATGAGGCATGGTCAGGGTGTAATCCTGTCTCCTCCCTTTCTCCATTCTGGGGATCTGAGAAACACATTTATATGTACCTTGCAGTTTATCAAGCCACTGGGACTGGGACTCAAACCATGTGATCAGTCATGTGGGATCTGGCTTCCTTAACCACTAGGCCACAAAACTAACTCATGGCACTGATCTGTAAAGAGAAAATAATACCTACCGATTTAGAATTTCTAGGTTCCAGCACCAGGGACAGTTTATAAATATCATCTTCTGTGTGGTAGAGGTCCAGAGAAAGCTACAACAAAATTAGAAGAGATAAATAATTATGACAAACCATATTTCTTAATTTACATTGCTGAACTATTTTTCTCAAATTGAAGGTTAAGTTTCATGTCTAATAATTTGAATGAATGCAGAACAAATATGGCCTGCAAAATTGGAAAATACACTTTCTTTTAAAAAAAACAGATTTTTGCTAGAGGGTGTATGTGCTCTCCAGAGAGACAGAAAGGAAGAAATCACTTCCTGGAGGGGATGACTACATTGCAGTCTCTTCTCCTTCCTTCTCTTCTTGGGATTTTAGGCATGCACGCACGCACATGCGTCTGGCATGAGTTTCAAGCCTCCAATTCTGGGACTTGAACTAAGGTCGACCATGTGGGAGTCCAGCACCTATGTGACCTGCTGGTCCTGGAATACACACTTTTTAAAAAGTTAATCTTGGTGTGAAAGTCAGCAGCACCAAGAACCAGCTAACTAATTCCATAAGAAATGCTAGGTACTGAGCTACAGATGAGGGAGGCTTGAGGTTTTTTTGGCTCAAAGCAAGAACAGATGCATAAATAAGTCTTATAATCGTAATGATGCTGCCCTGGAGTGTGGAAAAGGACCATTTGACTAGGTTACTATTATTTTAGAGCACTGTGCAAAATCCCGGTCATACAAAATGGTATAAAATAATTTTTGTCCTCAAGTACCTGACAATTTATTTAAATAAACAGGATATGAACAAAAAAGATGTCTTCATAGCAAATAAAAGCCAGCATGTGGGATGAGCACATGGTGTAATGGCTACATAGCTGGACGCCCATGTAGTCGACCACAGCCCATGTAGTCGGACCCGGCAGCTTAAAACTCACGCCAGGCTCATGTGCATGCATGCCCAAAATTCTGAGAGGAGAATGGAAGAGAAGGGATTATGGCATGGCCATCCACCCTGGGGGTAATTTATCGCCTTCTGTCTCTCTGGTGAGCACATGTACCCTATAGCAAAAATATCTTTAAAAAAAAAAAAAGAAGGCAGCACATGGTAAGTATGAAGTAAGTTGTCTTGGCTACAGGAATTCTTTAGACCTGGGCTCAAGCACTGAGCCTGCCACTGGCCAGCCCTGTCACTTGAGAAAGTTGTTTCTCCTTTGACACTCAGTTTCTGCATCTGCAAAATGGGAATGATCATAAAATCCCAACTAAATTAGATTGTGGTCAGACAAAATAAGGCATGTAAAGTGCTTTTCACGGGACTCAGTACACAGCAAAATTTCAAGAAATGCCATTGTTACTATTATACTTGTTAAAACATTATTATTATGTGTAGGGGCCACTGGAGACTGAAATGATCAGGAGATTATTTGTGAACTGGGGCTTAACTAGGAGGACCAGGACAAAGAAAGATGGGGAAGAAAGTCTTCCTAGGCAAGAACAATAACTGAGACCAAGATCAGAGAGTATGGCACATGTAAAGCTTTCAGACGCAGTTCCAGCTTACACCTGTCAATTCTAGGATACTCCATGAATCATACCACTTCATCAGCAACAAAGATAACCAAGTGCTGGCTCCTTCCTTCCACCATGTAGGCATGAAAATGTTCCTCTAACATGCTTTGTCTGAAGGTAAAGGTGCAATGTGTACTTAGGTGAGTGGGGACAGAAAGGAGAAACCAAGAGAAAACTCAAAGGCAAAGGATGTTTTTAAGGATTTATTTTTTGTTGTACCTCCTTTAAATAAAGAAGTTGCATCATGACATTTCATTCATTCATTCACTCATTCATTCCTTCAATGAATGCTTAGCCATGATCTCATACGTGCCAGGTACCACTCCAGTCACTGTTCCTGCTGTTGACTTCATATATCAAGTCATATATTGTTTGCCACTTAAAGGTTTTTTCTAAACAAAACAAATTTGACTTTACTATAAAATTGTCTCAGTAACATTTCAGTTCATGAACATCCTGCTCACAAAGAATGGACATTACATCCACTTTCACTAAGCATTGATCTCTCCTACCTCCAGGGGCTCTTTCTCTACCAGAAGAACCATATATCACAAACAAATGCCTTTAGGAGCCAGCCTCTATAGAAGAGTGGAGTGGGATACACAAAAGTAATATTTTTCATCTTTTGAAAAAGTTGATTTATTACTCTTATTCTTTAATTTGCCCAGAGAAAGACAGAGCAAGAGAAGGAAAGCAAGAAAGCAAACCACCAGGTTTGGGACTCAAAATTGTGGTAGGCCATGTGGGAGTCCAGTGCCTCAACCACCATGTTACCTCTGGCCCAATTCTTTTTTTTTTTTTTTTGCCAGAGGTTGTGTATGCACCAGAGAAAGAGAGAGAAAGTACCTTCCAGTGGGGAATGGTCATGCCACAGTCCTTTTTCCTCCATTTCTCCATCTTGTGGGGATTTTGGACATGCACATACATGCACCCACATGTACCTAGCATGTTTTTCAAGCTGCAAAAACCAGAATTCAAACCATGGGTGACCATGTGAGATCTGGATCCCTATTCACAGTGCTTAATTGCTATACTAAGGGGCTGACCCAAGGAATGTTTTATTAGAGACTGTGAAGATAAAATTTATCTAGAAGCGAGCCTGCTGTACAAAATTAATAAATAAATAGGAGCCAGAGAAGAATGAGGAAGCAGAGGTGGCTCATTGGTCTGCTTACTGGTTGCAGTGCTATCTATGACTCTGTGACTGTCACAGGACATTCTTTCTCAAGATAATTCCAGGTTTGCAGTCTCCTTCAGGCTGATCATGCGTCCTGCTGACTACCACCCCTGCCAGTAAGTTGCTCAAACAGCTTCTGCTAATGGACTTTCACTCAATCCTGTCTCTTTCCCCAGGTCCATAAGACTCTCCTCTGTTATCTTTGTCCAGTGTAAATTCTTTCAGAACGATTTACATGCATTTTAACCCCTGTACTTGTATAAAAGACCTTAGTCTTTCCTGGGTCAGCAGACATGTTGCCATTTCCATCTGGTGGTGCTGCTGGTGGATATGACTGCATATTGGCTCAGGGTCTGACCCTTATTTGATGTTAGCTTTGTGAGACTCATCTACTCTCTTCTTCCTTATAACTTATTCTTTTTTTCTTTAAGAGAGATTTTTGCTATAGGGCATGTGCACTTGTCGGAGAGAGAGACAGAAAGTTAGAAATCAGCCCCTCACGGGGGCATGGCCATGTCACAATTCCTTCTCCTCTATTCTCCTCTTGGGACTTTGGGCATGCATCCACATGTGCCCGGTGTGAGTTTCAAGCCTATGGGTCCAGAACTCGAACTGGGGTCAGCCATGTGGGAGTCCAGTGATGTAACCACTACTCTATTTGCTAGTCCCACCTTATAACTTATTCTTTACAGTTCTCTTTGGCTTGACAAGACATTGGCACCACAAGGTGTTATTTTGCAAAGGGAGTCTTTGTAGTTGTAATTGATGTATATCTCTTCTCTTAGCACTATGTCAAAAATGATTTGTGAGTTGGCCCCATGGAGAAGCGGTTAAGGCACTCTAGAAGGAGCTGGATCCTACATGGCTGACTATGACTCAAATCCCAGCCTTGGAAGCTTGAAAAGCATGCCAGATGCATGTGTGGGCATGCCTCAACACCTGCTGAGATGGACAAATGGAGGGAAAAGGCTTGGAGTGTGACCACACCACATTGGAGAGTGCTTTCTCTCTCTCTCTCTCTTTATTCTCTCTGTGGAGAGTGTGCGCACCCTCTAGCAGTTAAAACAGAAAAAATAAATAAATAAAAAGAAAGAGAACAAAAGAAAAATTTGTGGCGGTAAATGGGAATGGACGCCAGCTCTCTGTGTTGGGGCAGCAAGAAGGAGGAATCCCTACTCAGCTACTGCAAATTGTTGTCAGCCACTGCACATTCAGTTGCCAGGTCTTGTGGTCAGTTTAGAGCCAGAAATCTGGGTTTTCTATAAAATGTCTCAATTTGTAAACACCAGTATCTAACGCCAAAAACAAGTTTATGATTGCACATGGGCCACACGAAACATGTCTATGGTTGGCGGTGGCCCACCATTTTGTAAATCCCATAGCAGGCAACTCTGCTGGACTCCAAGCCTCATGCAAGTGGGCAGCAATCATTTCTTCTGCCTCAGTATCCCCAGCCTCAGCTTGCACCCTCGCACTGCGAGGTTACGTAACTAAAGACAGGAAACCAACTTCTTCCTTCGGAATTCCTTATTATCAGGAGTTAATGCAGCCTTGACAAGCATGATCTTCTCCTGACGCAACCTCTAAGTCCTGTGACGACTAGCACAGGCATCTGTTTGAGATGAGATGATGGCAACTCCAGAACATCCAGTTGGAAATCCAAAATGAACCACACTGAGTTAGGGAGATGCTCTTTCAAAAGTAATAGAACATCTTTGCCCACTTTCGTATGTCAAATGACTATGTTCTGGCCCAGCAATGGAAATAGTTTAGTCTCCTCTTAAGGATTATTTTCCACTAATTAGTGCTATAAACCCAGGCAAGTAATTAACCTTGAGTCTCAAGTCTCCTGACCTAGAAAATGGAAATCATAAATAACAGCTCTGTCCTAGGTCTGGGGTGAAGCTTAAATGAGCTATTGGTATCTGACCTTGTTTAGAAGGTCACAGATGTAGGATTTGGCTTCCAGCCAACACAGCAGTCAAATACCTCTGTGCTTATCTGCAAATGTAAAGCTTCCAGGGAGGGTGGCTGCCCTCCCTCCATCTCTGCTTGCCCAGCCACATCCTACTTCCTCCCTCAAATCTCTAGGCTTTATAGGTCTGCCCAGAGAATGCCCTGTTCTACCTCTTATATCCCTTTTTTAATAATATGGGCAGCTTGTCAATGAGATATCAGGAAAGTTTGCTCGAATCTGGTTGTTTCTGACAAATCTTCTGATTCACCCTTTCAGGTCATTACATTTACCAGCCAATCCTTTCCACAAAGGGGATTTCAGATTCAATTTTCACCTCTAGGATCTACATTGGCATGGCTGTTTACTGTTTATTAGAAAATAAAACACATTTGGTCATGAAACTACCTCGGCTCACCATTTTTGTAACTGTTCTTTTTTTCTTTTTTTTTTAAAGAAATTGTAAAAATACAGGGGCTTTCCAGTTATTTGCATGTTCTCAGAATGGTAAAAGTAACTGATAAGGCTAAAAATACTATGTAAGAGTCAGGCTATTTTGTATACAATGAAACAGAAGTGTCAACTTTTAAAGTTCCCAGTCTTATGAGTGGGAATCACATGGGGAAATGTCTTCCATATCCTCTTGGAAAGGGAAAATAATCGAAATTCCAATAGTTAGGTGGTATGGTCCTCTTGCCTTCATATGCCCGGTGCTGTTCAAGAAGCAAAGATGCGATGATAAAAATGACAGAGTCCCTACCCTCATAGATTTTGCCCTATACTTAACCCTTTTCTGTACAGATCCAGGAAGAGAGAGAGGTATTATTTAATTTTTATAGATGCAAAATCAAATAAATTAGAAGTCAGCAACATGCCCACATTAGAGAGTAAAATGTTTATCTGAGCCAATCCACCTGAAAGAGAAAAATACCTCGATTTCTGCATCTTAGCAGAAGTTCATAAGTCCTTTATGAATCTCAGTTTCATCACAGGCTGTGTTACAAGGTCCTTGTGAGAATTTACCAAGGAAATATATGTGAAAACTGCTGTCAATTATTATAGAAAGTTCAAGCATTGCAATACAGCCTACTGTACTAGGTGGGCATTTGATCATTTTGGTTAGCTCTCATTTTCTTTTTTGAATATTATTTATTCCTTAAATTTTGCCAGAGGGTACATGTGCTCACTGGAGAAAGAGAAAGAGAGAGAGAGAGAAAGCACCCAATGGGGTGCTCCAGTGGAGAGTAGTCACACTGCAATCCTGTCTTTGTTTCTCCCTCTTTTTAGGATTTTGGGCACACATGCACATATGCCCAGTATGTTTCTCAAGCCACTGTATCCAGGACTTGAACCATGTGATTGGCTATGAGGGACCCAGCCTCCTTAACTACCACACCATGGGCTACCTCCAAGGGCTCTTCTTTTCTTTTCTTTTTTTTTTTTTTTTTTTTAAGAATTACTTTATTTAATTTTATTTCTTTATTTATTATAATTTGACAAGAGAGGGGGAGAGAGAGAGAGAGAGAAAGTGAGAAAGCAAGCAGCCAGGTTCAGGACTTGAACCACGATGGGCCATGTGGGAGTCCAACGACCATGCCATCTGCCAGTCCCAGAGTTCTCATTTTCTATCCTCTAGGGCTCTCAATCATATATTTGCTACCCCACCTGGGGCCATATTCAGAAAACAAACAAACAAACAATAACAAAATTACTCCCTGGAGGAATCTGACTTAAAGTCTGATCAAAATGAATGGCCTCTTCAAATGCCAGGCTTATAGACTCCCTCACATACATTTGGGCAGTTGCCGTAAAGCACATGGTCTTAATTCAAATGTGTGCTTCATAAAATAGTTCCTCTATTTAGCACATGATAGAAGTCTCCTCAGTCCTTGTACTGTGGAGATTCATTCCCCAGTGGCAGGAAGAATGAATGGATATTCCTGTACATTGGCTTTTTCCCTCGGTAGTGAGGAGAGAGGAAGGATCTTGGTTTATATAGAAGTTGGCCTGATGCTCACTGACTCCTAGGCAGGAGTATTCTATCCCAATAAGACCCTGGGCTGGGACCACAGATCGTGTTGACACTTGGGTCTTTATTCTCAGGGTCCACCATTCCTTACATCTAGAACTAGAGATGTATGTGGTTGGAAGAGACGTCATAAATGAGCACAAAACCCTTTCAAAAAGCCAAAGTCAAAGTTAGTTAGCAAGAAGACAGAACTGTGAAGGCAATGCTAACAGCAATATCTCCCATCCAGGGGCTGGCCTAAGGCCTAGAGATCTAGGCAGCTGGCTCCCACATGACTGACCATGTGATTCTTGTCCTGGTCTGATCCTGGTGGCTTAAGAAACAGACTGGGCACATGTGCATGTGTACTCCAAATCCCAACAAGATGGAGACACAGAGGAGAAGGGATCACAACACAACCACACCCCATTGACGGGTGCTTTCCCCTTCTCCATATCTTCCCCTCATGCCTCTGTCTCTGTCTCTCTTTGGCAAGCAAAATTTAAAACAAAACAAAACAAAACTCCCATCTAGGATTTTACCACCACACAACACTGTAGTACCTAAATATGGCAGTTGGTGGCTTCTAAATTTTCTTTCAATACCTCTGAGGAGTAAGGAGTTCTGGTATCCTATTCCTTTTTTTGTTTCTATCCAGGGAAAAATGAATTTCTTAGCTTTTATTTCTAGGGTTCAGATTTTTCATTTGCCTCCTTGAAATTCTATTAAAATCTCCTCAATATTTCTTAAATATCTGCTTCTCATAATGTAGCTTGCTAGATTTATAACTCAAAATTCATTTCCTTAGTGCATTATTATCTTTTACCTGGATAAGAAATTGCCCAAGTGTAGGCACCTGCTCTGTGAAGTTACGCTTGACATCATAGATATGGCCTTGACACAGACACTTGAAACCCAAGCTACATGCTGAGGTTGCTCTGCAGACATCACCTGGTCCTGTGGGCTTGCAGTCTGATTGGGGCTGCAACTCTGGTCATTTATTCATGGAAACACATTTACATTGCAAATGATTAATAAATGCAGGTGTTTGGATGGTGGTGATTTGATTTTTTTTTCTTAGTAGCAAATGTGTGTTTATTATTTGTCACACAAACTCTACCCCAAGAGATTCTGTGCTTCTGTATACTAGCCACTTCTGCTTTTTTACTAAGAATGCAGCTAGCATAAGCTTGCACTTAGGGAGTCTATTGTTTGGTAAACAAGTATGTGTTCTAGGAACAGTTTCTAAAAAGGTCTAAGAACCATGCTCCTATTCCAATGCAGCATTTCTAAGGGATTTAGGCTCTCAGAACCTTAGAGGAGTGATTGCTTTCAAGTTCCAAGACCTTAAAAAGAAAATAGTTTATTTCAGTATTGCAGGCAAGCATATACTACAATGTTATGAAGCCAAAGAGGGAAGTTGTGCTTCTGCTTGTTTTAGCAAGCATGAGAGAATCTGATTAGGCTTCCTTCTCTGCACAAAGAAGGCCAGTGAGAAATATCCTCTTCCATACACCTGTTGTGTTTACAAGTGCTGAAAGCTGGAGACCAGCTAAATGTGTACCACTAATACCAAAAAGGAGTAGTAGGTGAATTTCTTTTGTTTGGTTCACATTACTCCTAAATGCAGCATTCAAGTCATCTGTTGAATTTCTAAATCTGCCAAGTACTGTGAGAGGTGCTCTGGATAAGACAAAGAAGGCAGATAGAAAAAACAAAACCCAAACCTAATGTAAATTCTTCTGGTGTTAAGAAAAGTATAAAAGTGCAAGTCAACACATATGACAGATACATTACTACTTTGGAAGGGAACAGAGAATGCTCCAGAAAGATAGGCTTTTGAATTCGAACTAGCCATATGGATGGGTAGGAAGGAGATTTTCCAAGAAAGTGCAAAGGTCAGGAAGCAGAAGGTATCATTTCAATGGTGGAAAGTATGAGAAGTCCAATGTTTCTCAAAGACTGATGTGATGTGGAAAAGGGCAATGATGAACAAGGCTGGACTGGTAGTCACAGGTTGAGTCCTGAAGAGCCTCTTTTGCCAGGCTGGGAATATATCCTAGCAGTTTGGAAGGCTGACTCTGGGGACAGAGAGATCACAGAGAACATCCTTGCACTTTCTCTTGCTTTCAACTAAAGCAGTGCAGTAAGGATAAAGAGAGGCAGGCGAGTTGAGGACATTCAGAAAGAGGTAACTGTCAGAGGAGTACAGTGAAGGAGAGAGACAGGCTGAGGATGGTTCTGGAGGAGCCTCTCTAAGAGCTCCAGAAGTGGGAGGAGTATGGTACAGAAACTGATCTCCTCCAAAGGGAATTTCTTTTTTCTGATGAGTCATGCTGGATATGTGCATGGGGTTCCTTTTCCTTCACCCTTTGAGATTTCTTCTCACCTACTGATCCAGAAATTAACTTCCCCCCAAAGGGCATTGCTGGCACATGTCTTCCTCTGTCCCTAGGAAAGTGAGGTATGAAAGAGTTATTTAGCACAAACCTGGCCTCTTGGAACTCACCGTGAGCAGGTTGATCAAATCCATGTTGGGTTCTAAGTGGTGAGAGGAATTCTGCAGGGAGACCAGTTCACTCAGGGTGACAGAGAGCTGGTGCATTTTCACAATGTTCACTTTGTTTTCCTCCATCCAGTCAGGGAAAATGACATGGACTGCTATCAAGTCTTTCAAGTGCACTCCAAGGATGGGGATTTTGAAGCCATCGCAGTCGGCAAAGGCTTTACGATAATTGCAGTAATTGCCGTTGGAGGAGACCAACTCTGTCATTTCATTCCAGTTCTGGGAACAGATGGAAAAGTAGAATTTTTAAATAGCTCTCCCTTCTTCCCCCTCCCAGGCCCTGCAATGTGTGGCTAGGAAATTCCACAGCTATCAATTGCACCAACACTGATGCAGGGAAATACTAATTGGGGAAAAGAAAGTTTAAAAAACCTACTAGGTCTGGCAATTGAGTTGGACAACCTATCTCACTCTGCTACAAAATGAAATAGCCTGCATGTCTGCCTACCTCCTAGAGATGCTGGAATGTCAAATGGCAGCATGTATACTTATGAATTTTGCAATTTATAAAAATACCACGGTCTACTCATTCAATCATGTAGTATATTAAAATTTCCTAGTTGTTGCAAGAACATTGCATTCCAGATACTACTTGAAGGTTAATCTGAGACAGTGAGAGGTATGGAAAGTCACACTGAGGTGTGAGATAGCTGTGGTTTGGGACTATGCCCTCGTTAGAAAGGCGATCCTGAGTCAGTCACTTCACTTTGGTGGGGGGCCTCCATTTCCTTTTCTATAATAAAAAGAAGTTCAAATAATTTTTTTAAAGGATGCACTGGTGATTCCAAGCCCCTTGTGAGACTCTGTCAGACTCTTATTCTTCAAAACATTTGAAACGTGTTGCTACTTTGTATTTGAAATGTATTGCAAAGCTAGAAGAAAATAAAACACATAATGAGTGCGGTTATACTTGGAATGAATGCAGAGTTGGAGGCAAAACAGTGGTACTTTTGTGGCTTACTTTCTCTTGTTTATCGTTGGTTACTGGTAAGACTTTCCTAACAGATACCAATTTTGATCAGTCTACTCTTCCCCACAGCAGTACACGTGACCCAGATGGATCTGTTTCCAATCCTGGGACCACCAATGGGGTTCCGATTTACCATCATAATTCCATCCTTCTGGTTTGTGATTGATTCAAGAACACATGCTTAGCCAATCAGATATTATACTCCTCTGGCAACTGCTATTGGTTCAGAGGAGGACATATGACTTCAGATGACCCAGTCTTTGTAGAAGAAAGTCTAAGGGCAAGGTTGAAGTGGGAAGTCCTCCTAATCCTCAACTTTTCATGAACCAGAGAACATAACCAGTCCAATCAGGAGGGAAGCCCGTCTAACTGAACACACGCCACAAACCTTCTGGTACTCAGAGGAAGGCAGAGCGGTTGAGCCAGGGCTCTGAGCAGACCAAGCATTGAGCTCTGCCTCTGGACTTCCAGGTATATTAGATGATGCATTTCGTTATTATTTAGTCCCATTTGAATATTTCTTTCTCTCTCTCTCTCTCTCTCTCCCTCTCTTTCTCTTTTTACTTATTGTTGAAATTATCCTTATTGATACAGCAAGGTACATTTTCACAACAGAATGTTTTCATAAGGATGAAATGCTCTTTTTTGCTTAATAATGAAAAAAATTACTATGGTGTAATAGATATGGCAGAAAAGCTCTATCTGGGAAATGATCATTGCTTTTAGAATACATACAAATATATATATATATTTGTTCCTGACAACTCATCTATAAATTCAAGGATTTCTATACAAGCCTATGTCTCCCCCCTTTCTTTGTATATTCTACTGTGTGAAACACAACGTTATGAAGAGAGTAAGATTCAATGACTTTTTTAAAATTTAATTTTGCCAGAAGGCATGGGTACTACAGACTAAGAAAGGAAAAGAGGAAGAAGAAGAGGGATAGAGTACTCTCTACAGGGCATGGTCACGCAATCCCTTCTCCTCCATTTCCCCGTCCTATTGGGATTTAGGGCACAAACACACATGAACTCATACCCAGTGTGTTTTTCAAGCTACAAAGTCTGAGACTTGAACTATAATGCCAGTCATGTGGGATCTGGCTGCCCCCATAACCTGGTCCAACATTCACTGACTTTATTTTAGGAGTGAAGGATATTTCTGTCTTATTCCCCTTGTATACTCTGTGTGTATCACAGTGCTGCTCACATAATAAGCACCAAAAACATTTTTTCAACACTTACAACTGTAATATGGTAGTAGTTATGTTAAAACATTCCCTTTTTATTTCTTTCTTTTTTTTAAAAAAATTTACCCCTGTAAATTTTAATTTACATCCCCAATGGGGATGGCCATGCCACAGTCCCTTCTCCCTTATTTCACTCTTGGAATTTTGGACATATGTGCAGACACACCTAGTGTGTTCCTCAAGCCACTGTGTCCAGGGCTCAAAGTGAACATTTGGCCATATGGCATCTAGCTGCCTTGACCAACACACCACCAGCTGGCCCTGTCAGAGCATGCTTATTGGAACACTTATCATCACCTCTAACTTGTTTTTCCAGGTGGACTCAGCGGATGTGACTATTTCCTTCCTACTTTGTCCCCCCATATGTAATCTACCCCTGGCTTAAAAGAAAAACTTTCCCACTCTGAGTGACATTTGTTTGGCATGCCCTAATCCCAAACAATTTACAAATGAATTTTTCACTTGGGATTAGGACCAAATACACTGTACCTTTGTAACTTCTGAAGAAAGATGAGAATGGGTCTCTTTGAGGCGTGAAATGGAACTATGACTCAGGCCTCCCACCACTGCCATCAGGGTGTTAAAATTTTTAAGCTGAAGGAGCTTCTGCAATAAAAATGTTAACATAAATGCTTTGTAAGAAGTTTTAAATTATTCTGAACTTTCTGAATTACAGAAAAAATGCATGCACCATTTTAATAACAAGAACCTATGAAGAAATAACATCAATTGAAAATGGGAAGCAAATAAAATACATTGGAAAATATATCCACTCTTTCACAGGAAAATAGCTACAATAAATGCTTCTTCTTCTTCTATTTTTTTTTGAGAGGTTCTGCTATAGGACACATGCGCTCACCATAAAGACAGAGAGAGACAGAAAGTGAAAAATCACCCCCCAGGGAGAATGGCCCTGCTGCAATCCCTTCTCCTCCATTCTCCTCTCAGGATCTTGGGCACGCACACACATGCATCTGGCACAAGTTTAAGCCACTGGGTCTAGGATTCTAACCACAGTCAACCACATGGGAGTCCAGTGACATAAACATTACGCCAACTGCTGGTCCACAATAAGTGCTTCTAATTATTGCTCTTGAAAAGCAATCTTCTTGCATGAAAGGAGCATAATTTGTTCATTAGACATCTATGAGATTATTTTTATAATAATTGTTTATCTAATTTTTATCTTTTTTTTAAAATTTGCTACAGGGAATGTATGCTCATCAGAGTGAGAGAGAGAGAGAAGTCAGGTCCAGAAGTCAAACCATGGTCAGCCATGTGGGAATCCACTGCCTTAACCACCATATCACCTGCTAGACCCCATCTCTGAGCATTTTAATTGTCCTTAGATTGTGAACACCAGATTTCCTCAATGCCTTTTCTCAGTAGAGTGAATGAACATCTAGAACCCAAGAAATACCCCTCTCCATATTACTAGACATACCTTTGCAACATTGATAAACTTTGTAATGACTTCTGCCCTTTGTTGGGGAGTTGGTTTGCTAAGGACCATCAACTGGACCCACTTCGAGATTCCATTAAATAAAGCAATAGATCTCTCCAAGGTTGGGTTATTCTCTAGACAGCCATGAATGACATAGCTTTGGTAATCAGTGAACTAGTAAAGAAAGATTCAGAGATACTGAATTATAATGGAGCTTTGCAAAATCAAATACTAGAATGTTGCACAAAAGAGGTGAAATAGTATTTCATAACAATATAACACTTTATTTTATTTCACATTTATAATGGAATCCTACAAGTTTAAATACACATTTACTCTCACCATGTTATTTTGCTCAATTTCAAATTCCATCCTTCCTACACACAGAGACACACACTATTACACATCATGGTGTTGGCTAGGGGAGGAAAAGGAAAAGCTCAAAGTCATAGTCCAATGAGTCCTAAATTTACTGGTTCATAAAATCCACCTGGAAAATTTGTTAAAATGCTGGTTTCTGGGGACACCTGAGACCTAAAGGATCTGTTCTCCAGAGGAAGAACCTAAAAATCTCAGTGTTTAACACAATGCCAGTAATTTGAACAATTAGACAGGTTTACAATAAAATAGCATGCATTAAAGAAGAGGAAATGAACACAAGTATAATGATTTCAAATCATAATCATTTTGTAAAATTATTTCAAGAAAAAAGGAAATGAGTATCAATTGAAGCAAGATAGCTCTTCAGAAAAATAGACACATTTTCAGAAGTTAGCATGGATGTTATATTATCAAACACTCATGAGTCTTCTATCATATATACAGTGCAGGGAAGTGCCTGCCTCATGGCCTGCATCAGAGAATCATGAAGTTCCACTCCAAGTAGGATTACTGAGTGAAAGAATCAGTCCTTCAAAAATTCATCCTTCTAACCAAGATGGTCTTCTTTGCAAGCCATAAAGTAATTCATTCCCTGGCGCCCTGGGAAAGGAGGAGGAGGAGTGATTTCCCCAGACTTACTGGAAATCAATGTGAAGATACTACTATAGCAAGTAAATAGCAACTAGGCAGCTCAGAAGAGATCATAGTCAAGAGGAAGAAAATGGATAGAGGGAAGGAAGTAAGCCCTATCAAGATGAGTAGGAAAGAAAAGTTTAGTTCAGTATCTATTCCTATGAAAGAAACAATGAGAGGTTAATTGTCCTCAAAGGCTACGATTCCTATTTTCAACCTATATACCTATAATTATTTATTCAAATTCCAACTTAAAAAAATATTTTCCCCCTAAATGAATGGCCTAGGAAAACGTGTTCACCTAGGAGAAGCCAGTGGAGCTAAATAAACCTTGAATGGTTAAATCTCCACTGAGTATTCAGAAAAATCATGCTTTAATCCTATGAAAGGAGACATTGACTATAGCGACAGAAATATAGCTCCTGAGCCATAAAGTAAAGACAGGATAATATTTATCTTTGGTTAAAAGGGATTGTTCCTGTGAATTAAGGGCACTTTTCCAGCAGAGCACTGTGATGGAGGCTGCCAACACTTCAGAGTATGAAAATGCAGCTCTTGGGAAAGTTGGCATGGTGATTGTTATCCTTGGAAGAATAAACGTCAAGTTTCTTACTGAGATCCTTCTAAAAGATTTATGCTCCAGAAAAGTGAGGTGCTCAGCCAATTCAATGGGCTCCAGATGGTCAAACAGCAGACAGGCTTTTCCCTTCTTGGATACTTTTTTCCTCTGTGTGACTCTTCTCATCCAGTCATAGGAAGGACTATAAAAGAAGAGTGAGGCTGGTCAATGTGCTGAAAGCCCATTTCATTCAATGGAAGTTATTAACCTACTGACTTTGTAACTCTTGGCCTGCTTCCAGGAGCTTGTGCAAAATACATGCCCTGTCCTTCATATCTGAAGAGAAAACCACTGACCCATTGCCAACAGAACATAAACTTGGAGTTGTTTTCTCAGCCAGAGTGAGTTTGCACTGATCCATTTGGATCTCTTACGTGGTCTTCCTTGTGACCAGCAAGGTCTAGATCATAAAGAAGAGGTCAGGGTTAGCTATATAAATTTGGGAGTTTACCAGAATAAAGATGATGATTTAAGGCACATGGAGAAAGCAGGAGAAACTGGGGTTCTCACATTTGAGCATAACATGAATTATCTGAAAACCTTGTTATAAAGACAAAGGCCTTGGCCTCACTGCCAGAGATTGTACTTTACAAGGAATAAACCTGAATAAAATGTATTTTAAACAAGCATTCCTGATGATTCCTGGATCATTCACTGTTGATGACTCTTGAGAGTATTCTAGAGAAACAGAACAGGGTACAAATGCCTAAGATACAAGAACATACATTTGCAAGGTGATAAGCATATTTAGGATTATCAAATAGGTTTCTCTGTGCCAAATTAGCTAGTTGATATGAAACTAGCCTAATTAATACCAAGTCCCTACTTATTAAGCCAACCAGTTTATGGCACAACTATAGTCAACATTTGCACAATTTCAGGCCAACTTCAGAAGCACCATGGCAAAGGGCTTCTCAAATTTGAATGAGCACATGAATCACCTGGGGATCTAATTAAAGAGCAGATTCCAATTCAGCAGGTTTAGGGTGGGGCCCAAGATTCTGCACTTCTAATGAGTTCCCAGGTGATGCAGATGCTGCAGATCCACAGACTGCACTTCAAATAGCAAAGGTACCGGACACGTGAATTAGATTAGATTCAATAACTGAGTACTGAGCATCTATCATGTGCCAGATGTTTCCCCCATGCTACCTTTCTCAAGGGCATGTGCACTTGCCTGGGACACAAAGAGACAGAGGGAGAAAAAGGGAGAAAGCACTCCCCAATGAGGCAAGGTCACACAGGAATTCCTTCTCCTCCATTTCTCCATCCTATTGGAATTTGGGTCACACAGGCACATGTACTTGGTGTGTGTGTGTGTGTGTGTGTGTGTGTGTGTGTGTGTGTGCATTTTAAGCTATCAGGGCTGAGAGTCGAACCACAGTCAGCCATTTGAGATCTGGCTCCCTTAGCCACTGGGCTATGGCAGCCCTGACACATGTACTTAGATGCTCATCATAACCCCATGAGAAAGGCACTATTATTTGTTACCAATAAAGAAATTGTATCTTGAAGAGATGAGTAGTGTCCAAAAAGGCTGTACTCATTGCAGCAAGGTTTTCCTCAAAGAAGTGAACTTTAATTCTAGGATGGTATGGACTCAGGTTAAGTTGGGTTATCAATTCTCCCTCCCCACAAAGGCAATGAACTCATCAAGTTTGCAAGACATGTGTGCCACTCTTACATGCTGGATATGTCAATGAGGCTGATGTGTTTCTCATATCCTAGTTGACTAGCTACTTCCCGGAATTCTTCAGTCATACGAATCAAACCAAGGTCCAAATTAAACTCTGCAGGGAACTTCAGAATCCAATACCTGAAAAGCACCAAATATTTTTGACAGCTGGATACTTTCAAGATAGACATCCATGAAAATTATTATACCATTTTGCAGATTGTATTTAATACTGAATCTAGAACTACACTTCAAATCAGCCATCTCCTATCTCCCATCCATCACCCTGAGTTTCTCTCTTCCTTCTTTCAGTTTATCACTCCCTCCCAATTTTTGCATTGTAAGTAATGAGAATGCTAGTGTTGAGAGAGCAGAAGAAATGAATTCACCTTTTCTGAAAATTGGTTTAATTCCCTAATTATATTTATTATTACTTGATCTTTAGTTTGAAAGATAAATTCTACCCCATCCTCTATCCTCCACCCCAGGAAACAGAGGAAAGCCAATTTTAACAAAGTCAATAAAAGGGAGGTCTGAGTAGATTCCATAGTCAAACTAGTTTTGTTGCTCAGGAAAAAGGAAATTGTTGAAAATTTTAGAACCAAGACTACAAGTAATTAAATTTGTAATTATATTTACCTCATGAAGTAGCAGATCCTTAATCGAAATTCATCACAGCTTTCTCCACTGGCATTTCGATACGTGCACTAGTTAAAGAAAAAAGTCTTCATGCCTTGTTTCCTTTGCACATTTCCTTTGCACGTTTCTGTAGCTATTTTATCTATTATATGAATTCTTTTTTTTTTTTTTTTGAGAGAGATATTTTTGCTATAGGGCACGTGTGCTCGCCACAGAGGCAGAGACAGAAAGCAAGAAATCACCTCGCAGGGGCAATGGCCACGCTGCAATCCCCTCTCCTTCATTCTCCTCTCAGGACTTTGTGCATGCATATATACATGCCCAGCATTAGTTTAAGCCACCGAGTCTGAGACTTGAACTGCAGTTGATTACATGGGAGTCCAGTAATGTAACCATCTGCTGGTCCTTTATATGAATTCTTTTTTTTTTAATAATTATTTATTTTATTTATTCATTCATTTATTTCTTAATTTGACCAGAGAGGGACAGAGAGTGAGAGTGAGAGAGAGAGGAAGTGAGAAAGCAAGCCACCAGATTCAGGACCCAAACCCTAGTCAGCCATGTGGGAGTGTCCAGCGCCTTAACCACTACGCCACCTGCTGGTCCCCTTATATGAATTCTTAATAAGAAGGCCATACTGGGATAGTTGAGTTATATGGACACTCAAATGAGAAATGGGCTCTAATGACTTTGACATTAGATGAATAACTGAAATTTGATTTATTATTGCTCTGAGACATATTTTTTGGTCTGGAAGAAAAACCATTGATAAAATTAGTTTTACCCTCTGAGCACTTACCAATTGACAAGAGCTAACTGTGATTACACAGGTAGCCAATTATATACACATAATTAAAACTGATTGTATGAAGCCCCATTCTAGCCATAAAAGATTTTGTTATTAGGATCCATGTCATATAAATTCTCTAAATTCTTTAATATTCAAAAATATTTTTCAGGTAAATGAATACACAAATTGTTATTTATTCTTAAGTCGATTTGTTCATATTCTTTTTAACAAATATTTATTGAGTTTATATGCCAGGCACTGTGGATATGGAGTGGACAAGGAATCCCAAGGGGGAAAATTTAAGGAAATGTCAATTCACAAGCAGTCTTCAATTTTTACACAGTTTGCACTTTTCCATATTAGACTTTACTATGCCTAAATTTCTCCTTTCATTTGTTTCATACATTGGTGGATATACCAAGGATAAGAATGCTACTTAAGGGCACATTGTTTGGACAGTGTTTGGCTCGTGAGGAAGGTGGGGCCAGATGGAGTCAATCTCCCCATCCTTTCCTCTGCTGTTCCCTTCAGCAATTAGACCCTAGGACTTTTGGGAACTAGGATCTTGCCCACTTCTAGGGATCTTGGCTCAGGGTAAATGTCCACTTACTCTCTCTAACATCCCTTTCTGCTCTGAGGTTGTGGAGAGGATGGAGTGCAGAAACAGAAAGGTGAAGAAGCTTGAACTAAACAGGTGGAAGCCCCACTTCACCCAGGCAGCCTTAGTAGGACCCTCTCCCTGTCAGGTTTTAGTAGGACCCTCTCCCTGTCAGGTTTCCCCTACCCTGGAAGAGTTTGTATCATCTACAGGGCCCCCTGGGCTGGAAGAAAGCAGAGACTGCAAGAACTAATAGTGGAGATTATACAATAAACAATAGACCTCAAAGAATAAAACCTTCTTAGAGGCCCAGTCATAGTGGCACAGGCAGCAGGGATGCTGCTGGGCGATGGTAGAAGCCATGTGGGAGGGCACCAAGGTCATGTCCCAGGTATGCTCATGATCCTGGCTAGCGGCAGGACTCGGGAGAGGATCACAGCACGAAGTCTCTGTTAAGGATGCCTCTCTCCCTTTCAATCTCTGGAAATAAGAAGATAAACTTGAAAAAAAAAAAAAAAAAAGAAGCCTCCAGATAATCGTGACACTATGTTTTCAGTCATTTTCAAGACTGCATTATGTACAAAAGTCTTTTCCATCTTAAAAAGACTGCAATATGTACAAAAGTGGTGGACTGCTAAAAACCCTCATTATAGAACGGTGTTTCTAACTATGTGCGTAGGGAGATTGTTTTGTTTTTATATCAGGAGAAAATCTAATTAGGACCCATCAACAGATTACCACAAACCTGCTAGAATGTTCATTGTGTCTTGCCAGCATCAGATATGAAAACTAAGTTAGTGTTTGTGCCTGAGCCAGAGCATATTATTTGGGCTGGCATTTCCATGTCTATGCTGTATTCTCTATGCCTATATTTTGCAATCCTAAAAGGAATAAATTAGTACTGGAAGCAGTGTTAAACATTCTTTCATTGTACTAACACCAGAAATGTTTAAGACAAGTTAGGAACATTTAGTCTACAGTTCCTGCTTCATTATACATCTTAGTATCATTTTCAAGTAGAGCCCAAATTTCCAGATGGATAGTCAACTATCTGGTCCATCATCCAGATGTTTTGTCTAGACATCTAAATTCACAAAAACAGCTGGAAAACTTACTAGATTCTATTTATGCATTTTAATTTACTGGCTTTGGATAGACACTCTATCTAAATAAAGAATTTGATTTATGACCATAAAAATTACACAGTAGTTGAAAAGATATATGCAGAGAAGTTTTTCTGCCAATTCAGTGGAAGATAAATACCATCGGTGCATCAGTAGAACTATTCTTGGCAAATAACTATTATTCAGCTCTCCATTGTCATCTGTTGAAAAAAAACATTTTTAATTAAAAAAGGTAAGGAGATAGTGCTACTTTTCTCTTTTTCTAATATCATTACAGAAGCAGTAGTGCAAAATATTTCTTGTAAACTCAATTATCTTTCACTTTCATGTCTACTGGTATTCCCTCGCAAATTCAAATAGAGGGGTCTTGCCCTTCCTTTGACTTACAGTTGACAGATTTAGCAAGTAAAAATACAGGGCACCCTGTTAAATTTGAATTTAAAATAAGGCATGATAAACTTTTTAGTGTAAGTATGTCTCAGAAATTATTCAAGATATATTGAGTCTTCAGGAAAATCATAACACATTTTTACATAGAAAAATACTTCATGACTTTCCTGACAACTTAATATTTATTCTAAAAATGTTGTTTATCTGAAATTCAAATTGGATCGATCATCCTGTATTTTATCTGACATCCCCAATCTGGTTTAACTGATTTCTACAGTAACCAGTTCAACAAACAACTTCCAAGTGACTCTATTTGTTCAAGAAATAATCCAAAATGCTGAAGTGGATACATAACATAAAAAGCATATAGCTATAATAAAGTCTATAACCTAATACATAGGAGATATAAGATGTATACAAACAAAGAATGTGGCCAGTTGTGCTATTGACACCTGTCTAAGTCCAAAGACCAAGTCATATACAGCAGAATAAATGTGCCCTAAGAAAGCTACAATGAACAGTGACAGGGTAAAAGAAGCAACCTGCATTTCTGATGAGAGGAGTAGGAATGCTTTTATGAACTTCTGAGAAGAATCCTGAAGCAGTCCAATGTAAGGAATATGATAAAGGCATGGAGGCAGAAATGTTCAGGAAACAGTCCAGAAACATCAGGTGAACAGTATAGCAGGGGTAATAGAGAAATGCAAAGAGTAGTGAAACTGGACAAAGTGGGATCAACTCAAAAGGCCTTGAACCAAAGTGCAGAGATTGAACTCTGTTCCACACGCAAAGTGCATCTGAATAGAGGGAAATGATAGTATCAAGATATACCAAAGGAAAAAGAGGAGAACAGCTTCATACCGAACATCTCAATGCAAGTGCTCAAGAGCTCATCCAGTGTTGCTGCTTTCCCAAGGCCACTTGACCCCATGGTTATTTAGCCGTTGTCAAAAAACTAGTGACATTTTCAGCATCAGATAGGCCATCTCCATAATCAGGGAAGGTGGAGATGTTAGTGTCTCGTGGTGGCCTCTGTCCTTAATGGAACTTCAAGAAAACTCTAAACAAACAACAAGAGAAAGTTATCAGACTAGAGTTCAGATCCTACGAAAGCATTGCTTTACTACCTGAACGAATAACAACTTCCAATGATTTTTATCTTTCTGTGAGAAAAGTATCAAAGCAGTGGAGATTTTGTCTATTGCCATAATGACTTGGAGAAGTCCAGACTTGGAGAAATGAGGACTTGAAGAAGTAGAGAGGTTGTCATGATGGAAGACATTTATCTAGTTGTACAATGTGGTAGGTAAATGTGGCCATTGGAGATTCCTCTCATGAATTATATGAAGCCAGTGCCTATTTTACTCTCAAAGTTTGTTTATTGACCTGGCAGTCAGGCACTGGGTTAGGCACTGAGGCTGTCTAGATGAACAAATTATTGTCCCATCTCCACTTTCTCCAGGTTTGTAATCAACATATGAATAGGGAAAAATGCCACTGTTCACTTGTATAGCTACATGGACAAAGAGATCACTGAGGGGTAACACTTGAGTGAGTGTTCTCTGGCATGTAATTCAAGAGAAAAATCCTCTATTCAGGATGTGTAAGAACCATATTTTTGAACTGAAGGGATCACTCTTAGAACACAAAAAGGATTTTTTTATTTTTTACAGAGGTGGTTTTTGTTTGTTTGTTTTTGTTTTTGTTTGTTGCTATAGGGCATGTGCACTCACCAGAGAGACAGAAAGAGAGAAATCACCCTCCGGAGGGATGGCCTGTTAATGATAACATGTATAATGCAATCCTTTCTTCTCCATTCTTCTCTCAGGACTTTGGGCACACACGCATGCCTGGTGTGAGTTTTAAGCTGCTGGGTCTGGGACTCGAACCATGGCTGACCATGTGAGAGTCCAGTGACATAACTGTTACACAATCTGCTGGTACCTCTTTTTTTTTTTTTTAAGAGAGATTTTTACTATAGCATGTGTGCTCGCCAGAGAGACAGAGTGAGACAGAGAATGAGAAAGTGAGAAATTACCCCTCCCTAGGGGTCATGGCCAGGCTGCAATCCCTTCTCCTCTAGTTCCTATTGATATTATGGGCACACATACACCCACGCCCAGCATGAGTTTCAAGCCTCTTGGTCTGGGACTCCAACTAAGGTTGACTAAGTAGAACTCTAATGCCCTAACCACAACAACACCTGCTGGCCACATCTTTTTTCTTCGTTGTCATTACTAGAGGGCATGTGCACTCACCAGAGATAGCCAGAGAGAGAGAGAGAGAGAAGGAGGAAGTTCCCTCCCTCACCACCCCCATGGAGCGTGGTTATAACACAATCCCTTCTCCTGCATTTCTCCACCTTGTTGGAATTTGGGACATGCATGTACTCATTCCAGTGTGTTTTTCAAGTCTCTGAGGCTGGGATTTGAACCAGAGTTAGACATTTAAGCTACATTCCCTTACCTATAAGGCTATAGGGCCAACCCGAGAGGGATTATTTCATATGTGCACTAAAAATAACAGAGACAGTGGGTCAGTACTCTCTCACTTCCACTTGCTCAAGTGATTTGTTAAAGGGGATTATTAAAGTCATCTAGAACCCAGAACCAGCAGTTAGCATAATGGCTATGTTGCTTGAATCCCATGTAGTTGACCGCAGTTTGAGTCTCGGACCCAGTGGCTTAAAACTCATGCTGGACGCATATGCATGTGTGCCTAGCATCCTGAGAGGAGAATGGATGAGAAGGGATTGTGTTGTGGCCATCCCCCCTGGGGGGTGATTTCTCGCTTTATGTCTCTGTCTCTGTCTGTCTGTCTGGCCAGCACACGCACCCTATAGTAAAAACTTCTCCAAAAAAAAGTCATCTAGAACCCAACGGAGTCACCTTATTGGTAAGGCCTTCCTGACTCCCTCCCCTTGGTTGGCACAGCACTGTTTCTCTCCCCACATCCACCTCCCACTTGGCATGCCCTACATCCCTCTCCAATTCATTTTTCTTCATAATACTTATCGCCATCTGAAACGCTAACATTTTGCTTATCTGTTTTTAATCCCTCTGGTACTATAAATGTAAGCTCCACCATCACCAGAATTTTTGTGTTTATTTTTTAGTACACTCAATAAGATTTTGTCTCTCACCTAAAAAATACTCAAAAAGTATTTGCTAAACTGATGAATGAGTAGATTGATGGCTAAAGAAATGGATAAAGGGACCAGCGGGTGGCATGGTGGTTAAAGCACTGGACTCCCACATGGCCGACTACAGCTCAAGTCCAACTCCCAGACCTAGCTGCCTGAAAATGTGTGACCAAAATCCCAGGAGAAGAAAGGAGGAAAAAGGATTGCAGCATGTCCATCTCCCCTGGGGGTGATTTCTCACTTTCCCTCTCATTGTCTCTCTGTCTCTCTCTGGTGAGCACATGTACTCTCTGGCAAAAACAAAACAAAACAAAACAAAAAAACCTTAAACAAAAGAAATAGATAAAATAAAAATTGTTCAAAAATTTGTCTTTGAATATGAGTATATTTATGCAAATGTGTATAGGTATCATACATTTTTAAAAGGTTCTGTTTTTAGTTCTTTTACTAATTTTCTTTTTTTGGAGAGGTTTTTGCTATAGGGCGCATGCACTCACCAGAAAGACAGAGAGACAGAAAGTGAGAAATTACCCCCCGGAGGGATGGCCATGCCACAATCCCTTGTCCTCCATTCTCCTCTTGGGATCTTGGGCACACACGCACACGTGGCCAGCGGGAGTTTAAGCCACCCGGACTCAAACTGCAGTTGACTACATGGGAGTTCAGCAACATAGCTATTACACCAACTGCTGGTCCCATCTTTTACTAATTTAAATAAGCTTTAAGTATTTTACTAATTTGAATAACCTTTAAGTAAACATTTCTGGGATAATTCCTACCAGCTTTCTAGACTTCATAGGATCTATCTATACTCGTAGTAAGAACTCAGTACCTCTTAGGACATTACACTTCCATGGTTTCTGTAGTAAACTCTGTTAATATCCTTTAAAGCCAAGGTAGAACAGTGAACAAGTTTGATCACCTTTATGGGTACACAGATTTTTTTTTAAAGAAAAAAAAAGTGGCCTTTTGCCATAGGGCACATATGCTTACAAGAGAAAGACAGTGAGAGGGAAAACGTGAAATCATCACCTAGTGGAATGGCCACATTGCAATCCCTTCTGCTCCATGCTCCTCTTGAGATTTTGGGTAAGTACACACATACATACACCCAGAGTGATTTTTAAGCCTCTGGGTCCAGGACTCAAACTGTGGTCAGTCATGTGGGAGTCTAGCACCTTAACCACCATGCCACCTGTTGCCGCCCAGGCATTTTTTATTCTTTTCCTGAATAATAAATGTATTACTTAGAACTAAATAGCCCAGATGAACTAAGCCAGTTTCTCAGCCAAACCATTATCCAGCAAAGCTGTTTGGAGCGTGCTGACCTCCCCACACAGGGTGAGAGAGAACCTGGTATCAAAGACCTGTTACCAGGTTTGGAATTATGTTTCTGATCTGCAAAGAAGTGAGAGTGTGATGAGCCCGGTGGGCTGGGCTATGTGATCACAACCTGTTTCTGCGAGCAGTAGATGTGTCTGCGCCTCTGTGTCGCATTTCGTTCACCTGCACATTCACGAGATCTCATGTCATATGTGTGGACATAATTGTGTCTTTTCAAAAATAAAGCTTTATTGTAAAAGCAATATACATTATTTAAAATAGGATGGTAAGGAAAAAGGAGAAAAATGACCCATTCCAAGATAACTTCTCATTAACATCATACATATTTCTTTTATGTTTTCTAGGCTTATTTAGGAGATATTTTGCCATAATTTACAATAGTTAAAAAAAGTACTTACCGGTTGTTTTCACACCGATTTCCAGGTCCAGAAGAATTTTAAGGGCAGTTATCATCATTGGGAAATGCATTGAAGAAGCGCTCTATAGAACTGGATTGTTCAACCTGAATTATAAGTATTTTAGAGAAGCTGATAAAAGAACAGAAAGAAAGGCCCAAGTGGGATTTTAAAATGGAAATCCAAAGTATACACATTGTGGTAAAGCATTTCCCAAAACTTTGCATTATAGGTGGTGTTTGAGGTTTGCCTAAACTTCACTTACGAAATCAATTAATAAGCCATAGTTTTCAAAATAGTTACTTGGTAACAATTTTTGAATCTGGTAGGTTTTTTTATTTTTTTATTTTCTAATTCAACCTACTAAAAACTCACAAATGTGGCAATACCAAGTTTTATACACATAGTGAAAAACACTATTTTAGACTAAATATCTTTGTATCCATGGATTACTCATCAAGACCTTCTAAACAGTGTCCTAGGAATATTAGTAAATCCTTAAACAGTTTGGTGAGGGGATCATCAAACTCTGACTCTAATCTCTCTTGATTGTTTCAACCTGAATGTCAATGTTATTTTAGTCTAGGTTGTTTAGTCTCCCAGTGACTTGGGACTCATATAGTGTTGATAGATACTCTGGCTATGATGAAAATTATTACTCTCCAACACAGACATTCTCTCACAAGTCTGAAAAGGACACAATAAACCAAATTTCCCCCCAGGTTTGGATTATTTCTAAGAGAAAAGACAAGTTGTAATTATTATAAACATTTAAGTCTTGATACAGACAGCACCAGGGCAAGAGGGAGCCGGATGGGCACTGGGCGACTCTGTGCCTCACGGAGGAAAGATAACTAAACATGGATGAAGGAGATTCTAAGAAGCCAAAAGGCAAAATGTCATCATATGCATTCTTTGTGCAAACTTGCTGGGAGGAGCACAAGAAGAAGCACCAAGATGCTTCAGTCACCTTCTCAGAGTTTTCTAAGAAGTGCTCAGAGAGGTGGAAGACCATGTCTGCTAAAGAGAAAGTTTGAAGATATGGCAAAGGTGGACAAGGTCCGTTATGAAAGAGAAATGAAAACCTACATCCCTCCTAAAGGGGAAACAAAAAAGAAGTTCAAGGATCCCAATGCACCCAAGAGGCCTCCTTCGGCCTTTTTCTTGTTCTGTTCTGAATATTGCGCCCAAATCAAAGGAGAATATCCTGGCCCATCCATTGGTGATGTTGCAAAGAAACTGGGAGAGATGTGGGATAAAACTGCTGCAGATGATAAACAGCCTTAGGAAAAGAAGGCTGCTAAGCTAAAGGAAAAATACATAAAGGATATTGCTGCATACCGAGCTAAAGGAAAGCCTGATGCAGCAAAAAAGGGAGTTGTCAAGGCTGAAAAGAGCAAGAAAAAGAAGGAGGAGGAGGAGGACTAGGAAGATGAAGAAGAGGAAGATGAAGAGGATGAAGAAGAAGAGGATGAAGAAGAAGATGATGATGATGAATAAGTTGGTTCTAGTGCAGTTTTTTCCCCTTGTCTATAAAGTTGTACAGAACTCCTTTTGAAGAAAAAAATTGAAATGTAAGGCTGTATAAGATTTGTTTTTTAAACTGTACGGTGTCTTTTTTTTTCTTGTATAGTTAACACACTACTGAATGTGTGGTTAGATAGCCCTGTCCTGTTTTCAATAGCCACTAACCTGACCTGGTACAGTATGGGGGTTGTAAATTGGCATGGAAATTTAAAGCAGGTTCTTGTTGGTGCACAGCACAAATTAGTTATATATGAGGATGGTAGG